CAATACTGCCCCTCTCAAATTTTCTGGAATAATCTCTTGTTCAGTCTCTAGCCAGTCTAACAGTGTTAAAGTGATACCACTTATTTTAAGGGGTTTTAATAATATATTTTTTCTAAGCAGTGTGATTTTGTAAGGAATTAAAGCAGGAATGGGTGAGCAGCTGGTAGATAATGCTAAGGAGGATGGGAATGCTCAGGCCAAGGTCTCACATGAGTCCAAAACAAGGTACATGACTGCACCAGGCAAAACTCCAGCCCAAAAATATGTACCCATGAATCTGCACAACAGCTCAGTCTGTGGAGTGAGGGCAGGAATCCCACAGGCAGCCCTGAACCAACCAGCATTTATTTCCAAATAAGGTTGTTGTTACAGACCCCTTAATCCAGGATCTCACAGATGCTGTATCCTGGTTTTTGGAAGAGCTAGTTTGGCAGGTGCAGCTCCTCATTATAACTGTGAAACTGCTAAAAGTGCTTTTTTAAACTTTGATTTTATGTTCCATTTGAAATGCCTATTCTCTCTGCATTTGGAGGTAGCAGCTGTAGCTGGCTCTGTAATTTGTTGGAAGTGGCATCTCCTACACAGAGGAGGTTATGAAATATAAACAAAGTAAAGTAACTTATAGCAGCAAAGAGAGACACTTCCAGCTTTTATGAAAAAAAGGATGTGATAAACCTGCACCTTGGGCAGTCACTTAATGATATCTCTTGGACACTCAATCAAGACTCCATAGAGAGATATCAAGATCTCAGTTTCCTGGGATCAAGTCAAGAAGCATTTATGTGGCTGTCAATGACAATTAGTCAGCTGAAAACTCTCTGCTTAACTGCTTTCCTGGAGGCTTTTAGGAACCTTCCTCAGCTCTGCCTACAGGAATAGTTCTTTATAGCAAACATCCAGTTGGTGTTTTCAAAGATTCGAACAATACCTGTATATCATATGAGGATTGGTTTCAGCTACCAGCATTAAATACAAATTTCACCCAAGCTCAGCAGTATTTGGATTGGGTTTTTCACTGGGGCCCCTCAGAACTGAGTTTCTACAATCCTGATTCAATCCAAGAACCATTTACTCATAGCTGCTTTGCTGCTGGCTCCAGACACACTGCTCATCCGGTGCAGCTCATTGGGAATAGCAATCCACTGTCATTATTTCATTTCCTCGGATATTTAGAAAATAAAATGCAATTGTCTTCTTTTAATCTGAATTTCTGCTGTAGCAGTAAAACAGAAACAATAATTAGATCCATGACTCAAAAACCAGGATGTAAATATTTACAAATGCTTATGTTTGTTTCTTTTCTTGCTCTCTGGAAGCCAGCCGCAAGGAAGGACTATTAGTTGCTAGCTGATCTTCCTTAGGTAGGAGGAAGCAAAGCAGAATAGGGAGTGCTTTCAATGAGACGTGTTGTTCAGAGCTCTGAGCTTGCTTTGTTTTTGCCACACACAGCTGACACAAAAGGAAGCAATCTTCAGTATCCTGAAAAAAAGCCTGAAAAACCACTCATCCACCTGCATGTTACTATGGTTGAAGCACAGTGTTATCAAAACTATGATAATCACAGTTGAAATTAACACACATAAAGTGTTAGTCACATCATTATCTGTTGAAATGCATTGAGCAATTGCCAGAACAGTAGGATCTCAAGCAGTGACATTTTTAATACCTTTTATGTGCAAGCAAGTTTTGCTAGTTGTTCTGCAGGGATTAAGAAGATAATTGGGAAAAAATGCACTAATTTTGCAATGATCGTCACTTTTTTGAGTGCGGAAGCATCTACACTGCACTGGCAGACAGAGCAGAAGAAAAAACAGCAGCCATTATTGTACAATTGTTCAAATTTGTGAACTGACATTTCCTCCAATTTTACAGTGACCAGTAGTGGACAATGCCAGCAGGGAAGTCCAGGAACCAACAGCCCCAGCAGCTGATGTTTGCTAGAGGTAATATTCCCCCAGCAGAGGGAATATTATCTCCCCTCAGCCACCACTGGCCAGCAGGCACCCACTTTGATCCCAGAAAATGTGGTACTAACAAGAGTTTGTGAGGGTGTGCTATGAGTGGGTCACTAAAATATTCTCTGTTAAAAAACCTGGCAAAAAATGCAGTGACACCAATACATCTGGGTGCAGCATATGGGTTGAGAAAGACCAGCTGAAGCTCTTTATCAAAATGCTGTATCTCTGAAGGGAGCTGTGGCCTTAGGTAGCTTTCAGTCTGTGTGGTTGATTTCTACATTGTCTGTATGTACTTCACAGCATATTTGATTCTCTAGGAGACACTGGAAATACTGCCAGTCACTGCCAGCACTTGATCCAAATTGGTGGGTATGGGTAAAGCCTGCCCATACAACTCCTTGTTCTTGAAAATGTAAGGGGTGGAAATAGCCCATCCACATGACCATAAACTACTTTCTTTCTCATATATAGGTCAAGGGAATGCAAAAGTGCCTTTCTTCAAGTGTGCCTTTACTAGGAGGACCAGCCTTTAGGAGCCCCAGGCTTTTGAGACAAGGGCAAGGATGGAGCAAGGAGGACTTAACCTTGGTGGAGGAGAATTATGTTGGGGCACATTTATGCAAGTGTGCAACCATGGGACCTGATGGGAAGCACACATGGGTGCTGAGGGTGCTGGCTGATGTCACTGTGAGGCCACTTTTGACTGTCTCTGAAACATCATGGGGCTTGTGAGACATTCCTGGAGAATGGAAGAAAGCAGATGTTACTCCCATCTTCAGGAATGGAAGGAGGATGATCCAGGGAACTGCTCAGCCTGATTTTGATCCCTGAGAAGGTTACAAAGCAACTAATCTTGTAAATCATTTGCAGTGAGTATTCAGCATGCATTCAGAAAGAGGAATTCATGCTTACCCAATGTGACAGACTGTAACAAGGTGACTAACTAAGTGGGGGAGGGGAGAGCAGTGAATGCTGTTTACCTCACCTTCCAAAAGGCTTTCCACAGTGTCTCCCCTAATATTCTCATAGACAAGCTGAGAAAGTATCGGGTAGATAATGAACAGTAATTTGGATTGGAAACTGGATGAACTACTGGGCCCAGGGGTCAGCCACCCGAAGTTCAGTCACACAAAGGTCACTAGTGGTGTGTCCCATGGGTTGACACTGGGGCCAATACAGGACAACATCTTCATTACTGACCTGAAAGGGCTGTACCTTCCAAAGCTTTGCAGATAATAATAATGTAAGAGGGGTGCCTGGTACTCCAGGTGGTTGTGCTGCCATTTGGATTGGCCTCAGAGGCTGGGAAAATGAAAAAAAGGAATCTCAATGATCATGGAATCAAAGAATAGTTGAGGTTGGAAGGGGCCTCTGGAGGTGATCTCCCATGTTACCCCTCCCTCTCTCTATGCAGGGTCACCTAGACCATGTCCAAATGGTCCCTATTCCCCATGTGGGATTCTGTGAACATCTGCTACCTGCTCTATCAAGGCTGAGATGGTGGGTTCAATGGAGGCTTGGTCTGACTTAATATGCACCTGCCTGCATCCCTTAAGAGAATATTCCCTTATCTCATGATATGAACAATATGTTCTGCTAAAAGATCATTTAATCCATTCAACCTATAATAATCAGAGACTTTCTCCAGTTATAGATGGTCCACTGTATCTAATTATAGCCCTACATTATGCATAATTTAGATGCTATGAACATTGTGCTATGTTCACCATTCTGTCTGCCAGCTTTCTGAACTTGTTCAGTGTCTGCTTTTGGAAGAGCAGGGGTATGGCTGCTCTGTGGAGGGGAAACCTGGGCTACTTCAGTACTACCTGCTACTTCAGTACTATCAGTATCTGCTGGAAAACCAGCTGTCTGGAAAATTACATAAAGGGACATTTCAACCAAGGGCAAATAGATAATGTGCATACCAGCACTACAGTAGCTACTGACTGGATTCTGCAGAGTCCAAGGACAGAACTGAGACTAGTGTATAGCTCTGGATCTTTGAAATCAGAGTCTAAATAAGAGCCAGTCTCCAATTTAGAATTTCTTATGTGCAGCAGATAACATCTCTGCAATGGACCAAACCACCATTCTGAGAAAAATGAATCTGACAGGTTAAACATAAACAGTAAAACCATAATTAGTTGTAAAAAGTTAGTTCTGAAAACTAATTCTGAAAGTTAGTTCTGAAAATGGTTGGAAAAGGCAGTGTATGAAGGATGTTATTGAAAAGGTAACATAAGTGTGTAACAATCCTCTTACTCTTTTCATTTATGTTGTCCTTGTCAAGCTGCATATCGGCCTTTGATTTACTTTAAATCTGTTGTCCTCTTTATCAAATGGTCCTGATGACAACTGAATAAAAGGACTCACTGATTCAATAGATCAATCCAATAACTGGTAGGATGTGTGTGACACATTTAAAGTGAGAAGTATGGCTGTCCAGACTTATTTTTCTCCTCTGTACATACAAATGCACATGCAAACTGTGTATGCAGAAAACGACAGCAGATTTAATATAAAAGTTGAAGTTCCTCTGCATAGCAGTTCTACCCTCCTGTATATAAATTATCTTTATTGTATATAATTTGTGTCTTTATTATATATTTAAGGTGTGTCTTATTAAAAGGACCATAATCTGACAGAATGTCTACAAAAGTATTTGCACAGATCTCAGTTGGAACATTTTTGGGGTGAAAATTATTAGAGCTTTAAATTTATTTGGGTACTGAATTGCTGCAAGTTTCAAAGGAAGTACCAGAATAGCTAAAATGTTCTAGACCTAAGGCATTACTCAGCATAATATTAAATGGTTGAAATTTGGGCCCTGAACTCATTTCCTGATATCTATTACCCTGCCAGAAAAAAAAGGTATAAAGTGGCACTTGCAAATTATATACTATTCTGGTCTTGTGCATAAGTTACTTCCTCATGAATCTTTGTCAAAACCAGAACAATTTCAAAATTGTAGTGTGTCTGACTCATTGAGGGAGGGTATAGAAAAAAAATTACTCATGTGAGATTTTTTACTACTGTCTGTCTCAGTTCCCCACCAAGTCAAAAGACACACAGCGCTAGGAAGAACCTTCGAGTGCTTTACGGGAGTGCCTGTAAGTAACACTTTAAGGTTAATATCAAGGAACTTTGGAAGTAATCATGGGCTGAGCTAGCTGTTCTAAGGTAGAAGGACTAGATTTAGCTTAGCTAACTATTATCACCTTACTGATTGGAGGGTCCATTCCTAAAGTTTGTGAAACAATTTACTCCTAAACTCTCCCAAGAAGTATGTGTAGAGCTATTTTGTGTAGGACAGGGCTGTGTAATCTCATATGTTCCCTTCCTTCCCTCACACCAGAATTTTCTGTGTTTTGTAGAGTTGTTTTTGGCAATAGGCAAATTACCATTTGGGTTTCCCAAACTGGGCCTGCATTCCTTCCTGTGTTTTAAGGGAAGAACATGTCTGTGGGCTTGTTGTATCACAGCTTGTTAACACAGCCCTTACAGTTGTGAGAAAATTTGATTTCTTCTTCTATGTCCCTTCCATATCTATCCATTTTCTGTGGGTGCCCACAACATATTTTCTGTGTCCTTCTGAGTGCCCAACTTAGTGAAATACAACCTGTGCTGGCAGCTGGGGAGCACAGGGAGAGGTTCATCTTCCCAGGCTTTGGATAGCTTTGGATAGCTCTGTCTGAGTAACCCAGACACTTTTTACAGTTGAGCTAAAATTCTCATAGAATGCAATCCATCTTCTGTGAGGGTGGACTTCTAGAACAGGTCTGAAGTAATAGTTCTGGGTGACTGCCCTCTTCTCTTCATTGGCATACAGACAGCTCAGATGTGGACATCACAGAATCACAGAAGGCTTGGGTTAGAAGAACCGTTTTTAAAGATCATCGAGTCCAACCTCCAGTGCTATAGACATCTCATATAAATGACATTTAATCAATTTGTGGGGCCCTAAAGAACTTGTAATACCTTGCAGTGTTCAGAATTATCCCAAGCTATTTTCAATACATGAAGAGAAAGATATCTCACTCAGTTGCTATTTTTGTTTTTCCTTGTGTATAAATTGTTATATTTGCATTGCTGTGTTGTTTAGTATTTCAAGTTCCTATGTGTACATACGTGATTGGATATTTTAGACATGTCTTCTGTTTACTGTGTTTAGTACCATTTACTTCCTTTCCTCATGCAGTTAAAAGCAAATAATGGGAAGTTGAGAAATTGTGAGGGTGTAAATAAAGCCCTGGGTATAGCTGCAGTAATGTTGCTGTATTTTTCATTGGGCTGTTATTTCTCTGTTGAATGCCCTGCATTGACCAAAGGAAATAGTGTGGGACCCCGTCCTGTACTTTTGTTTTTACTATGCCGTAGTTCAGCACTGGATTTTTTGACAGTATCCAAAAAAGGGAAGTAATTTTCTTGCATTTCAACGTAACTGATTCAGGCTAGAAAACAAGGCTCCTGAAATTGCCAAAAAAGGAAATATTTGTTTTTAAAATCTTATTGTGTGCTTTCTATTCTTTAATTCCTGCATAAAATCCTGACAGGATTTGTGAGGCAAAGATCATTGTGTAACTGAAGCAAGGCAAAGATCATTGTGAAGCTGGGCATCAATGGGACCTAATGTTTCTCTTAATAAGATTTTGTTTTTATGTATAAGGCTCCTGCACACTGTTCTGGGCAAAGGGCCTTCCAAACTTCCATATTCCACCTAAGATCAGCCTAGACAACAGTGCTGTGCAGAGAAAGTTATATCAGACTTGGTGCAAAGGTGCAAAAACTAGGTAGTACTCTTCAGTCCTAGATCAATGGCACTTGTAGTCCCCAGGCTTTGCCTGACTTAGGTCTGGATCAAAATAGAAAGTAGACTTAGAGATCTGACTCTTTTTGTCATGCATTGTCAAGTCAGCTGTGTCTTTGTCAAAAAACCTTAATTATTTATTAAATCCCATTCTTTTACTCACTATATATTTTTAGGAGATACCTGCTTCTTCCTTTATATAAAAATTGGCAAGCTGTTTGCATGGGTGACTAATCCATATACTAGACATGTAGACCTGCTGTTCACCTCTAAGCAAGCAATAGCCTATTTAGAAAAGATTTCACAAATATTCTCTGCAAATATTTACAGTTTCAATCTATAGCAGTTGGACTAAATGATTGTTGTTGGCCCCTTCCAGCTCAATTGCCCTGTTCTATTCCATTCTATCTGTAGCAAGCCATCATCAGCTGCAGGGTGAGCAAGGGACTAGGACAGGACTGAACTGGTAGCAGAAGCAGCCACAACTACTTGGAGGCTGAATATGGAGGAGTCTCCACAGAAGGCAGGGAAGAAATCATACATAAATAAACACATACTCTTAAAAAATTTCACAGCTCTAGCACAGAGCTCATGGCTGAACTGGAAGATATTTTCTAGGGACTCTTGATGCTTTGTACTTATCTTCTGCTTCCTCAAATCTGTAGCCATATCTGAAATAACACAAACAGGACCTTCAAATGCTTTTAAATTTTTCTTGTTTATTTTGAAATGAAATTAGAAAAATGCCTTTTAAATAGGTTGCATTAAATTCAGTACATTGCAAGTCTTAAGAAGTGTGGCCCAACCTCCTCGCCAGAGAAGCTCCTTTGGAGAATTTGTTTTTATAATTACTCCTGCCAGCATGCCATATGGTAGAAGAATATCATGCTTTCAGAGCTGAGTAAATATTTCCTAGAGAGGGAAGCTAAAGCACAGAGAGGTTCCCCTTGGACCCAACTAAAAAATCAGTTACAGAAGCAGAACTAGAGCACAAGAATTTCCAGCTCCCCTCTGTGGGATGGGGAGTTTTTCATCACTAGAAACTATGGTGGAAAGAAATTGGCAGTTCAGAGCAAGAAACAGCTTTCCAAGAATCATTCTTTCCTTATGCTACATAAATAATGGCAGCAGCCCTAACCTTAGTTCATGTTACAGGACAGGAGAAAAAGTACTTTGCTTCAGACTGCAATTGAAATGAAGATTTTGTTCATGTCAGTCTCCTGTTATAATTTCTTACTGCACCAGACAGCCTCAGGAAACTTTTGTGATTTATGTTTTTTAGAAGAATCATTCCAGAAAGCTCTCAAAGTGTATTATTTCTTTAAGTTATGAATTAGCCTCTTTAGTGAAGCTAACAATTTATTTCTACTTCTAAGCCAGAGTATTATTTTTCTTTCCCAAGCATTCACAGCTGTGATATAAGTTCCTGTAATACAAGAATGTTCACCCTCCAAACATTTTTTTAGGTTTAGAGTTTTCATCCTTCGAGTGGTTCTCCTGTATTCAACTCTGAATATCTATACCTGTTGCTGATGCCTTATGTGGGGAAAACTGAGATGTCAGACAAGCCACAGAAAAGCACACTGTGAGCCTGACTCTTACCCTGGAAAAATTTAAGCTTAGTGATGGGCTCTTGAGGGTATGAGGATGCTCCTTTTGTGACTTTCAATGACCATGGAGAGACACCTGAGCATCTATCCCACAGGCTCCAAAATTCACTGTGTCTTCACAATGCCTTTCCTGCCTTAAAGCTCTGCGTTCATACAGATTAAGGACAAACCTATCATGCATGTTCTGAATACTGCAGGAATCTCATGCAACAGCATTTAATCTGCTCAGAAAAGGAGACTCTTTGATTCTTTTTGAGTTCTGCCCATATATTGCAAGTCTCCAGCCTCCCAGTTCAGAAGTACTTTTATTAAATCTAAGGATGCAGTCATGCCAAAATCCCAGTCACATATTGCAGCCATTTACTGAATGCTTGTAAGCATTAACCCAAATTCACCATAGTCGTACATACAAATGCTCAAAACCATGTAAAAATTGTGCCTGAGAACAGCTGTGAAATTGGTGCTGCTAAAGAAAACGGAAAATGTGTCATTTTCTTACACAGGTGTTTTGGACAGCATTAGATAAATGCTAGCCTTTTTGCTTTTTATTTTGTTAAGGTGTCTTAAATCAAGAACAAAATGCCAGATGTATTCACTGTGCAAGGCAATTTTTCTTAGATCTACAAAGAAGTTGTGGCAGCACATGCTGTGTAATGGTCTGATCACGGAGGTGCAGGATTTGCTGACAAGGTTTGCTGGCTGGTAGGTCTGGCTCTGCTTGATTTCAGGAATATAAACATCTACTTTATGATTATGTTTCCTAAAAATGTTTTTCAGCAGAAAAATGACAAAGCAGACCATCCACGCAAGCAGAAGGGCAGCTCTGCTCCTAGCAGAGCTGGAGCCAGGTGGCTCCTGTGCTTACTCTGCTCCCCATTTCACTTGCAGCACCTTCCCAAACATGGTGACTACTACTTACTTCTAGGGCATTGACTAACTAATTGTGCTTCTGTGAAGGAGCTGTTAATTGCTCTTGCACTTCATTTACAGCTGAGTTCACTTAGGCTCTGGAGGGGAGCAATTTTCTCAGCCTTCCCAGGCCCTGTGATAGTGCTAGGAATTAAACCCCCTCTAAGGGCCTACTGCCCACAGTTCACTTGTGCTAAAGTGGTTAAACACAAAAACCACAGAATTTCTCAGAATGGTCCTCAGCACTATAGAGGCTCAAGCCCAAGTAAGGCCAAAGAAAAGCAGCACATCAGTACAAGAAGGTCTCAGCTGGTGATGGATGTTTGCTCCCATAAATTCAACTGCTGTTGCACACAAAGGAGATAATGACACAACTAATAACTAATTACAATGAGAAGGAGAGGGAAATGGTGCCGTGAATGCTAGCAGGATTCATAAAGGCTAATGCTAATAAAATATAGTATGTGTACAAAATTATAGTTTAGTTCCTGGCTACCTGCTGTGTTCAAGCTAAGCAAAAGACAAGTAATATCTTCAGGATGTATTTTACAAAGACAACTGCTCCCTATTTAAGATAAATTTACCACTGTTTATTTTATTTAATTAGTATCTCATTTATTCTAGAATGTTAAAATGCTAATATGCATATGAATTGACCTTGCATCTTTGGACAAATTGCACTATAAATATTATATTGTAATATCTCCCATCAAACAGAATAGAATCACAGAAATACTCTGTAATTTACATAATGGACATACTGGTAAACAGGACAGATGGTGACAAGCACAAGCTATTAGGCTTAATAAGGGTTAAACACAAAATTGTATGGCTGGAAGAGAGCACAGTGAGTCATCTGCTGCAACCCCTCTGCTCAGGCAGGATCATCCCAGAGCACGTGGCACAGGATTGAATCCAGGTGGTTCTTGAGTATCTCCAGTGATGGAGATTCCACCACCTCTCTGGGAGCCTTTTCCAGTGCCTGGTCACCCTCACAGTTACGAGAGGCTGGAATGATTGATGTCTGGAGACGTTTTGGGGTGCATGTGTGTGGGGAAGGGGCAGGTGGAGCCTTGCCCTGTTGAGGCAGTGCCCTGCCCTGCCTCCCCCACCCTAGAGCCTGCAGCACAGCCCGGCAGTGGCTGCCAGGCACTGGCACTGGAGGCAGTGCTGCACACCCCACTCCTGGAGCCCCTTACCCACCTCCTGAGTGCCCAAATGACTGGAAGTGCCTCCTGGGGGAAGGGCCAAGGGTGTTTAATGTGGAACATGAGGCAAGCATGTCTTGACTCTACTGCCTCTTGGAATTTTTATCAGCTGCACACCACTGGAATCCAGGAGTAGCAGTTATGTGGCTCCTCTTCTATGTATTTTCTGACTTTCTGTTTCTAATTCTTCTCAGAATTTTTGTGTAACTTAACATTGAACAGACTAAGAGTTTCCCAAGTTAATGCTCTGAGAAGTGTTTTATATTGATTAAATGTTGCACTAAATCTTTTGACAAAGTTCTCTGATTTTCTAAAGTTGCCAGTAAAGTTTTTTAGTTGTTTTGACCTCTTGAGAAAATCTTGTCCATAGTTGTCCTGTGCATCTAACTCAGATCTTACATGAACAACTGTGAGCCCTTCTGAGAGCCGTGTAGAGCAAGGTTTTTGGGGACCTTACATGAGTAAAGAAGTTTTTCCTCAAGTTCTGGTGGAACTTCCTGTGCATCAGTTTCTGCCCATTGGCTCTTGTCCTGTTGCTTGACATCACTGAGAAGAGCCTTGGCACCTTCCCTTCAGCTCCTTGTATACATTGATGAGATTCCCCTCTCAGTGATCTCTTCTGAAGAATGAACAGGCTCAGCTCCCTCAGCCTGTCCTCCTAAGAGAGATGCTCCAGTTCCCTCATCATCTTTATAGCCCTTCACTGAGCCTGTTTCAGGAGCTCCATGTCTCTTGTACAGAGGAGCCCAGAACTGGACACAGCACTCCAGATGTGCCACCAGGGCAGAGCAGAGAGGCAGGATCACCTCCCTCAACCTGCTGTGAGTGCTCTTCTTAATGCACCCCAGGACTGGTCTTCTTGGCCATGAGGCATACTGCTGGCTCATGGACAGCTTGTTGTATGTGGACCAGTTTGTAAGTGTGCTATCCCAGGAGAGACCCAGGGAAAGAATGATGCCTCTGAGGCACACTTCCTTTGCTCTGTACTAACCTGAAGAAGCTGTGCTTCATTCCCCATCCCTGGGCAGTGTGCACATGCTGCTTTACCAGCTCCTTCCTCCCTGGCAGCTGATCTGGGTGCTCCTGGCAGATTGAGCCATGCTCCCCTTCGTGGGGCTACCAATGGGAAGTTTCTGTGCTCCTCTCTTTCCCTTCTTGGTGCTTACAAGGCAAAGCCAGCACCTGTGGGGAGCAGTGGGTGCTACAGGAGGCTGGTGTCTTATGCATACACTGACACACACATAACATGTGCATGTGAACCATTGTTTCTGCATAGCTAATGAGAAATCAAAGTGTGCAAAACATAAAAGGACAAAAGATAGAAATCCTTTTAGAGTCACCTCTTCAATATTTATATCTGTGACATTGGGGACAAATATTTTGGTCTCATGTGTGTGGCAGTCATATTTTCTGGAAAAATCCCTTTGCCCGGGATTTCTTCTCCTGGGAAACTGAGAAGCCTCAGAGAAAAAGGAAAACAATATTATCTCATTTGCTTCTCCTGTGTTTTGTTGGTTTGGAATGTGGTTGGAGATTGTTTACCCAAGAGGTGATTGTTTCATTGGTTTCATGTGAATTGCTTTGACTTAATGACCAATCATGGTCAAGCCGTTTCAGGACTCTGGAAGGAGTCACGAGTTTTTCATTAGTATCTTTTAGCCTTCTGTCTGTATCCATTCTGTATTCTTTGGTATAGTTTAGTACAGTTTTTGTATAGCATTCTTTAATATAATATAGTATCATAAAATAACAAATTAGACTTCTAAGAACATGGAGTCAGATGCATCATTCCTTTCTTCGTCAGGGAATCCTGCAAATACAAGAGACGTGTGGTGGTTCAGCCTCATGTAAGTCAGACCTGCAGATTTTGCAGTGTGAAGAAGTATCAGACAGTCAGTTAAAAGCACATCATTCTCCTTAGTGTGACCCTGTAAATAACAATGTTTTTCTTTTTCTTTCCTTTTAGTTTGAGCCATTGCAGTGTCAGCAACAATCAGAAGAAAATGCAAAAATTCATCTCAATAGCTCAGACTGCATGGGAAATGTTTATATCTGAAAGGAAGCCTGGCTGGAAGTATCAGATGCAGCTTTTCGCAGTTTGCTCTGCAGTTGGCTTCCTCTCCAGCTTTCTGTTTTTCCTTAGCATGCACTTCTCCTTGGCACACCATTCCTTGGGGCCCTTACTGATTTCTGGATTCATCTGGATTTTGCTTTCTATCATGCTCTTTTGTTTCAAGCGCCTGCGCTGTTTTAGTGTTCTGTTCCTCCTTTCTTGTGGATTGAAAAATGGCAGGGATGCTCTTATTACTGCTGGCACAGGTGTTGTGGTGGCCAGCAACATTCAAAATATTTTTCACAATTTAAAGGCTCTGGCTGACAGTATAACCTGTCATTTAAAGCAAGAGCAATTTGCCTTGATAAAATATTATATTGAGGCAATAAAATGGGTTTATGAGGTAGCCAAGCCTCCTGCTGAGCTACCTAAAGATATAGTGGTCCTAAAGCACGAATTCACACCATCTTATTCCATTTTAGATGACACATTAAAACAACAGCTAAATGACACAGAGCAAGAAATCCAGAGAATTGTTAACCAGATATCTTTTATGTTGACTATACTGCCCTATATAGGTCAGAAAGTATTGCCTATATTTGGGGTTTTTCTAGTTTCTTTTGGAACTGGCCTCTTTATCAAAAAATTTGTGGGTTCTCATACTACCAAATTTAAGAATACCTATATCACAAAACAGTTCATTGCATTTGATGAGCACCAAAAACAACAGCAAAGACCCTCTCTTCTGCCACTTAACAAAAAAGAGAGAAAAGATTATGTGATGATCCCATCCTTCTTCTTCACAAGAAAGGACAGGAAAAAAATGCTGTGTTCTTTTTTCCCTATAATTATTCATCTTTGCATCTGGCTTCTGTTTGCTGCAGTAGACTCTTTGTTTTATTTGTTAATTATTTCTGTGAACAAATATCTCCAAGAAGTACCGGATCTGGACATTCAACTCAGTATCTTTCAGAATGTAAGTACTTATCAGTACCATATATTTCGTAGTGTAGTGTTGAAAAATTTCCCTTCATTTTCAGCAGCTGCAAGAGCAAACATATAACAATGAGCCATCAATTCTTTCCTGGAATATAATTTCATTTCAAAAAGGTCATTGCCTCCACAGATACATTGGCTGGATGGAACCAGACAGCTCTTTCCAGAGCATTGTCATATTTCTAGAGAATGGTAAATTTTGGAAGAAGGATTTTCATTCCTCCATTTATATATATGAAAAAACCCAGCTTAAAATTGGAAAATCACAAAACTGACACTTGTGAAGCATTATTTTTATAGCCAAAAGTCACTGTGACACTGATGTAAGGGATGCCTACCTTACTTTAACTGAGTAGTGTGAGGAGCTCATCATGTGTATGCATGGGCTCATACGCACAAAATAATGTCTTGTTGCCAAAATCTGCAGGTTGCTCTAGCAGCAGCAGCAGCATAGAGACCATAGATTGGCTAGGTTGGAAGATAAGTCTGGACGCGATCAAGATCAACCCCATGCTCAAAACAAGGACAACTGGTTAGAGCATTATGCTAATGACACCAAGTATTAGTGGTGTTGTTTGGTCAAAGATTGGAATCAATGATCTTGGAGGTCTTTTCCAACATTTATTGTTCTATGATTCTGTGATGTTTCAGTGGTACAACATTCAGGAAGAAGAGAAAATCAGGACAAAGTGAAGGAAATACATTTTTTTTGTTTACTCTTCAGGTGATCGAACAATAGAACAAGTGTCTGAGATAGGTTGTGGGATGTCCATTCCTGAAGATAATAAGGACCCAACTGATCACTACGCTAGTCAGCCTGTTGCTGTGTACTTTGTTGTGTATTCACTATTTGCTGTGCATTCAGTATTTGCTATGCACTCATTATTTGCTGTGTACTGTTGTTTTGCCTGTGTTTGCCTGTGTTTCTATCCTTTGTACCTTGAAGGCAGCCCTCTTATGACCTACCCTGGGTGTGACCCAAATCAGGGCAAAGGTGCTTAGTCCCCCTCTCCATGAACAGAAATCCTGAGCGCCATGTCTGGCTGATTCATGGCTCCTGTACTACGAATTTGCTCTCTTTATGTGCATTGTTCACTCATGTGGAAAGCTGCTTGACTTCTTCAAAACAGAAAACTAATGCCATTATCAGATTGTTTCTAGTTCCCCAAGGAAAGCTAATTACATTAAAATGTAAAATTTAATCTCAACAGATTTGTTATATCAAGCCTCAGGGCTGCTGATCTCAGGGAGTCAAGGAAGCTGGGTGAGCGGAACAGACTCAGACACTTGAGAGGTTTATTAATTAGCATGAACAGCAAAGTTCTTCATGCACTAGTACCCCTGTTTCATACTGAGTTCCTAATGAAGATTTCCCTTGCCTGTACATCAATTCAGTTTAGGGATAAAATGGCCTGAGATAGTTTGGAACAGGATAATGTCAAGGAAGCGCTAACAGGCTGAAGATGGGTAGCATGCTTTGGGAACTTCATTTCTCCAATGAACATCTAACAGAAGTGCTTGGCCTCTGTAGGGTGATTAGAAAAGCCACAAGGAAGACCTTATTATTCCATTGACATGATCAGAAAAGAGGCTGGGTTATTCAGTGTTCTTATTCACAGAACAGAAAGTTGCCTTATAGTATGGTCCCCACAGCATGTCTGATTTACCCTTCGTATTGAGCATTTCAATCTACAAGCAATGAAAAGCATCAGCTAAGCAGAGGCAGCTACAAGAGGAGGTCAGGCAGCCTTTGTGTGACAGCCTTTGGTCATAGCACTGCCTGGGCCAGTTGTGTGGCTGCAGAGAGGGGACAGGGCTTAGTGCCATGTGGGCACGGCTGGATTGCTGTTCCATACCACCCACAACATCACTGCAGGTGTGGTTTCAGGGGGAAGAAAGAGCAAGCACCCCTGAACATGCAACATTTTTGCCTCCCTCTCTCCATTGGGATGGTTGTCAGGACCAGCCCTGCCCCTCTGCTGCCCACTGCCTTTCTCTTGTCCAAGACTTGACTCAGGCACACGGTGCTGGAAAACAGCGCTGGTGCAGGAGGCAGCTGAGGGAAACAGAGCAGCAGAGGAAAGCCCGAGCCCAGCCTAGTCTGAGCTAAGCTGAAAGGAGCTGAGTGGAGCTGGGAAGAGCTGGGAGGAGCAGTCAGTAGTGCCTGGGCCAGTACTGGAAACAGCAGCACAGAGTTGAGTCCAGCGTCTGAAGCAGTGGCGCAGTGTGGCAAGAACTATCATACTTTCATACTTACTTTCATACTTACTTTCATACTTTCAGGGGTTTGTCTGTCATTGTTTTCTGCTCTCTCAGGCTCAGGCACAGAGAGAGTGCTGTGGTGAGTGACTGCCACCTTGTCTTTTTCTGGGGACAGCCATGTGGCACTGGGCATAGGAAGAGCCACCATCCTGGCTTTGTCCCACGTGGAACTAAGTCAAGATGGTGAATACCTTTTGTAGGTAAACCACCTTCTCTTTTTATGTACTTCTGTTAATAATATTGCTGCAGTTACTGTGCATCTCTTATTCCATTGCTTGCTGCTTTCAGTAACTTGCTATCTCAACCCATAGTCTCTGCCTTTGTCCCTCTGTTACTGGAAGGGGAAAGGCTTATTTGGAGTTTGATTTCTGGCTGGTGTGGAACCACCATGGTGTGGAAGCACTGCTGATCATGTGCTGAGACAAAACCAAAGGGACAGACACTCTGCTCTGCAGTTTTTCTCTCAATGAAGGACCCTCCAACAGAGCATCTGAGCAGAGTCATAGGAGTAGAAAAATACTAAACCATTATAACCAGATTAGCTAAATATTTCCCTGTCAGAACCACTGAGAAGGTAAGTTTTTAATGGTCCTAAGTGCTGGACATTGTCCACCAAGAGAAATTGTGAAAATTGAGTCCCAAACATTTATAAATAACCAATAGATATATTGTTTTGAGCATACTGTATATAGACACTGGATGGTCTAGATGATTTAGAGTCCTTTGTAAATCTGAATGTCCAGTGGAAGAAATATTAAGAAAGGAGGGAATCTGTCCTATAACCAACTTTTTCCACTTTTCTTGTGCAGAAGAATGAGAGAAGCTATATAATTTCTATGAAAGAGCATATTGCCAAGACTGATTCTTTCAAGATTTCTTTGGTTAAGCAAAACTGCATCACTCATCCTGAGCTCACTCTCTCCACAACATGGATTCAGCTTGGAGTCATCATCTTCTTCTTAATAATTTTTGGGTTATTCTCTGGCCTCCTGACCCAGCTTAAAATACTCGTGTCAACTTCCTTTTATCCTGATACCGAGATGAAACGTATACATTATTTACATGCAAAATTACTGAAAAAAAGAAAAAAGCTACAAGAGAAAACTGGGAAGAACACGTTTGCAAGAACGGTAAGCCAAGAGTTCTGGGGAAACAAATAAACCTTCTCACTGGGTGGTTGCCAGATCCAGGAAATACTTAAACACCTGTTAACTTCCATTATGTGCTAATGACTTTCCTTAGTGCTCAGGAGCCAGAGACATGTTGCCTAATGGTGAAATTAGATCATCTAATAGTTTTGTTCTGCACTTCAGCACACATGCCTCAGACACGACATTGATATGCTCAAATGACTATCTGCTGGCAAGCAAATACTTCTTAGATTCAGAGTCCTCCAGAGAAGAAACTTTGTTTTCATGAACATATGAAAGGCACTTAGAGTACTCCTGAATCTAGATAGCAAGTGCTAGGCAGCAAAAGCAGCCCTAAATGTATAGAAAGATGTTCTGATATTGCTTAGCAATATGGAAGGTGATATATTTATATTTTAAAACACAGTGTGACTGCATATACTATTAGGAAACAGGACTTTTTCTTGCAAAAACATTTATCCTATATATATATATGTATATGCACACACACACTAATGGAAACAACTAACACACACCTATGGCATATCGAGATAGAAAGCTGCAGACATTGTTTAGTTTGTTTAAGTTTGTTTTTTTAACAGCCTTCAATACTGACTATACAGGGTATTAGTGTCTGGGTGATCTTAATTCAGTAATACCATCATACAGATCATATTTCTGTTTTTGCAGGTCAACTTTTTGTTTCCAATACTCAAGGCAAGAGAGGCAGTGAGGAAGAAAGAAAGGAGTGTAGCAGCATGACAGGATGATGTGAAAGAGACAAAGTAAATCTTTGGATATGGCTGAGATTCTTTAGTTCCACCTGTGCTTTGCACCATTTGTCCTATAGAATGTCAATTGTAAAATGTAAAAATTTCACACTCAAAGGCTGAGCAGCAGTGTTTTAGTTTGTTTCGTTTGTTTAAGTTTGTTTTTTTAACAGCCTTCAATACTGACTATACAGGGTATTAGTGTCTGGGTGATCTTAATTCAGTAATACCATCATACAGATCATATTTCTGTTTTTGCAGGTCAACTTTTTGTTTCCAATACTCAAGGCAAGAGAGGCAGTGAGGAAGAAAGAAAGGAGTGTAGCAGCATGACAGGATGATGTGAAAGAGACAAAGTAAATCTTTGGATATGGCTGAGATTCTTTAGTTCCACCTGTGCTTTGCACCATTTGTCCTATAGAATGTCAATTGTAAAATGTAAAAATTTCACACTCAAAGGCTGAGCAGCAGTGTTTTGGAAAAGGTTCTCTTGTGGATGGTGAACAGTCAACCACAAATTGCTCTGGATTGCTTTAACAGTTTTTTTTCAGTTTGTGGTTTGCATTATCTGGTACTTGAGAAAATCGTGGATGATCTGTTATTCTGTCTAAAAGAAATAAAATCGTTTGGACCTTTTAGGTCTACACCAGAAACCTCTTTGGGTTGAGCTAACAGAAGATGTAATGACAGCAGCAGGTTTGTCTTCTTCATGTTTGCCAGACACTGAAGATAGAAGACACAGCAGAGGCTGTGCATCCATTGCCTTCTGGGATGGCCAAAACCTGGACTTTGATGTTTCTAGACATTTTTATCTATTTCTCAAGCCTCAAGCCCTTCAGCCTGGATCTTTGCCATCCCTAGTTTCTAGTCTCCTATCTAGTCTCCCACCCAAAATTCTTTACTTGGTCTTAGCCCCCACTTCCACATACCCATAGACATTATCAATAGTGCAGGTTGTTCGACGCCTTTGATAATCATGAGAGGTCATGTAACACGTAGAAGTGAGAAGGGTCACAAGAGCTAGAATGGAGAGGAATCAGGCCCTGTGAGGGCAAACAAGGTGTCATTAAAGGGTGAGGCATGTAAGTAGAGGTGAACAATGTTTCAAGTCTTGCAGACTGAGGAAGCTTGCAGAAGAGACAAAAATGGGCTTAATTATGTTGCATAAGCATCAATGACTTTAATTCAATTAAACTGAGCCAATAGTGAAGTACTTCACCTATTCAACCAACACTGGTGTTGTGACCTTCATATGATACAAGCGCAAATGCAAAATGCCTAAAGACGTAGGAATGACTTATGTAACTTTAGAGACTTAATGTACAGCTAAAAAATGTACCCAACACGGAGTGTATTTCTGATTTTCAGCCACAGCCAACTTCCTTTTTTAGTCTGAATAATAGGAAATTCTGCTCTCTTCCTCTATAATACATGCATGGTTTCAGGACAGCCATTGATCAATGTCTCTGTTATCTGAATGAATTAAGACTTAAAACTCTCCAGTATCAAGTGTCAGAAGTTATTTTGCACTTACACCACTGAAGAACACAAAGATTGGGTTTTTTTGTGCCTTCCAAAGTCTCACTTCTCCATGCATGCAGGTGGTTCAGGTTGCTGATGTGACCACAGTTTGTGTCTGGGAAACAATGCTGGATTAAAGTCATGCATTATTGAGGGTTGTGCTGAATGTCTCTGAGAGGCCTGACCATGTCCTTTTTACTAAAGTGGAACATCCCTGAATAGTAGCAGAATGTCAGCTTGTATTTTAGGTGCTACAGTCAAGCACCAGTAGCAAGAAGCATTCTAGTGAGAGAGAAGCAATTAGAAGGTTGCTCAAAATTTGGACTCACAGAACAGAATAGCTATCCAGGTACTATTGTTAAGAGAATCACACTCTTGTTATCATTGCAGATGAAAGGGGAAGAGTTACATGTCAATAAGAGCTAAATATTTTTGGCAGAGTTCTGATTAATTGCTAGCAGGAGTTGGATGTGCTCCTTTCAATCCCAAAGAACAAGGTGGTGAGAAGCCCAAATATGGGGCAAGTATGATTGACAGCAGTGCCACAAAACACCATGCAGGAGGAAAACTTTGGTTTGGAGTTTCTCGCCTGTCCTGTTTGATGGTGTTGCCACTCAGACTACCTTTTCACTCTGTTGTGCTATGAGAAGCACAGGAAAGTTTTGCAGCCCATGGGAATGGTTCATCAAAATAACTCAGATGCTGGCCAAAGTTTGGGAGAGATGCCTAAATCTGTTAGGATTTTGAGTTCCATAGTACACTCTCAGGACAATGCCATGTATGTATTTTTCATTTACTTAAGGAAATTCGACCAATGTTGAATGTGGATGCTCCCCCCACTCCCCACTACCTGTCAGGAGAATTAAACATTGCTTAGTTTACCCTTCAAGCTGAGAGAAACCAATCGTTCTTGGGTAACTAGTTCTGTACAACATGTTCAGTTCTGGTAAATATTTTACCTAGATGCTTGACCCCACTACCAGTGACAGAAGACATGGAAAAGCCCAAGGTATTTCTTTATCTTGGTCTTTGCAGGTAAAACTGGTCTTTAGCCATAGACCTCTCAGACGTGAAGGAAAGGCTGGAGCAAGGAAGAATTACCCCTTGTAGTTAGAGAGCACTCAAACACACAGGAGCACTCAAACACCATGAGACATGAGGAGAGGCATCCATGGGTATTGAGGGTGCTGGCTGATGTCACTGAAAGGTGTCTTGATTTTTTGTAAAAGGTTTTGGTGATCAGGAGGCATTACTGAAGGAAGGAAGGACTGGAAGGAAGCACATGTCACTCCCATTTTCAAGCAGAGCAAGAAGGAAAATCCAAGAAACCACAGATTTGTCAGACTCATCTCAATCTGTGGGAAGGTGATGGAACAATTTCCCCGGGTAGCTGCTTCCAAACATAAAGGCCAGGAAGCTGACTGGTATAACACTGAAACACAAGAAAAACTTTTTTACTGTGAGAGTGGTCAAACATTGGAATGGGAGGCCCAGAGAGGTTATGGAATCTCCAGCTTTGGGCGTACTCAAAAGCCACTAGACATGACTCTGAGTACCTCAGAGAAGCAAAGCTGGAGTAGATATCTCTAGACCTGCCCAACAGCCTAAGCCATTATGTGATTATTGACTTTAACACAGCACATTTGTGGAAAAATAGTAGACATGCACAGCAAAATCTTGTTTTAATTTGTGAATATGCTATGCCAGCTTCAAGGGTGCCACCTGACAGATATTGTTACCATTACACTCAGACAACAGTCACATACTTGAGTGGACTAATGCACACTTTGTTTCTGTGATGATGCACATACATACCTGTGTGCTGAACATGACCTGAATGGCAAGCAAAGGAGATAAGTTTGCTCTCTCCCCATCTCCCTAAACCTGGTTTATCAGGGAAAATGGCACATTCTACACCTTTTTAAAAATAATTTTTAAATATGCCTTCTATGCCTCAAAGATATTGAGTTTTACCTCAGCAGCAGAACAGTACTAGTACTCTGACCTACAGTACTAGACCTATTCCTTCAGCTGCCCAGTGTCTTTCTTTAGCTGTATGGATGAAAAGGCAGGTATGTCACTCCCCTGAAATTACACAGAGACACACTTCTCATTCTCTCCAGACCTTATTTTCTTTTTGGTTTCTTTCATTTGTTTATGTCATATGAGCAAAGGAAGTCTAGGGTTTATGTTCAGCTGTCTCCTCTGCAAGTTGTTCAGCTATTTCCTTGGCCTCTCTGCTAACCATAACCCTCAACCACAGGATTGAGGTCTAAAAAAGTCTATGAGTTACAATAAAAAAAACATCATTCCACCCACAATTATTTCTGTTCCTCTTCTTGCCTACCCTCTCCTCAGATTGCCTACATTTTATTTTGGCTCTTTTGTTTTGTCATTCATAATCTTCTTTCCTCTTTTAATATGTTTTCTTCACCTCCAACAGATCATTTAGATCAGCTTTCTCATCCATAAAAGCATACAATGCTTTTCTTTCTGCTGAGCTATAGGTGCAGTTGAAATTAGGATTTTTATTCATTTGTTGGTGTAATAGAAATTTTTTATATCTATTAATATAATGTTACTGGGCTTTGTCTCTAAATGACTCTCAAGGGCTTGTCAGAAACACATTCAGCACAAAGAACAAGAGTCTGAGAAGTCCAGATTTGGCTTTTGACTCAATCATCCCTGTCTTTCTCTCTGCTCGCAGAACTCAACTTCCTTTTTGAACATCCTTCACTAGTGGAGGAGCTGTTTGATTTACTGTAAAAAATCCTCCAATTGGATCAAATCTGGTTTGTAAAATTAATGAAAGGCTGACCTGATTGTCTTGTGAAGGTAATTCAGAGAGACATGCTAGTGCTCCTGACCCTCCTGACAAACAAGGACATCTCCTTTCAGCAGCCGTGTTTATGGTCCTCTCCTTATCAGCACCCCATAGCCCCAAACCTGGCTGGCTTCTAAAGCCAAGCCAAGCTAAAGGCTTCCTTTCCTCTGTGCTGGTTTTGTTGCAGCATTTCATGTGAGCAGCTGGGTATGAAAGGATGCTGGGCTATAACTGCTGTCACCGTGACCCCTGCTCTGTCAATATTATCACATCGACTCCCTGCTTTCATCGCAGTTTAAATAGCCCAGAGATGCAGTTAAAAAATAAATGGATAATCAAAGCTTTTCCTCTAATTCTGTTTTACATCGCAGAAGTGGAGAGTAAGGATCAAAGGATCACTCTCGGCTGCCGATAAAATAAAGCCTGAAAACAGGGATTTTGCTGGCACGGATTTCAAGCCGCGAGCGCGCTTCACGGGTGCTGCTGTGCATGGAGCGCCTTCCTCCCCGTTCCAGGGCTGGTACCTCGTACCTGCCCTGCCCTCCAGTGGCCCAGTGCAGCCACAGGGCCGGGGGCTGCTGCTCTGCAGGGATCCACCCGTGATGCGTCAGGCTGAAGAGAGAAGCGCTGCAGGTGTGGGTGTTTGCACCACAGCTGCGAGTTTCACGGGTGGAGAGCTGAGTGCCAGCAATAAGCACATACCCCATATGAGGCTTTCTCTGGCAAATGATGGCTGTGAAAGCAGTATTGTGCAATCCGGGATCAGGTCTC